GTCCCCCTCTGGGGTAAAGAACGGTCCAGTCACGTCTAGAAGCCATTGAAACTTCGCGAATGCGTGCATCGTGAAAGCTCGCAACTCCCTCCTGGTGTTGTGGACATGTTCTCCCTCAAGTACGAAGCGCACCAGTACTGCATGGTTTTCACTACAGATGCTTTGTAGATGGATCCTAGCTCAGAAACATCTCTCCACTTCTCTTTGTTAAAGCGACTGGCAGTGAATGTGTGCGAGCACGATGTCACGCGGTTCCCCCTCATCCTACACCATTGTGTGTAATGGGTAAACACTTCACGTTGCAGCCTGCTGTCCAACTCTTTCAGTGTAATGTTGATATACTTGCTTCCCAAATGAGCACAGATGCGACACCTTGATGCAAAACATGTAAGAGATCCTTGCGCGGTGGAACTGGGCTACACAGAAGACATACACCCCATATGACCCAAAAATTTCAAGGGAAACCACAAAAAAAAATCTTGACTAAATTGAAGCTTGGGGTCTTCCAAATTTCTATCTTTGGTCCATCCCTGAACGCACACCCAACTCGACTGTTTGGACGGGTTGTTCAGCATCAAGAAGTCTTCGTGAGAAAACCGGACCCATTTTGGCAACGTTGTTACCACAAATGGTTCATGTGAGCACCCTGCAGGGCTGCTGTGAGTATTTGGCAGTGAATGGGTGTAGCTGTGTTGGTAGCGGAGTGATGTCGCACGATGCCAATATTGTCAAAAATTGTATGGGCAACAACTCCCAAGCCGGGAGGCTTACATTGTAAGCCTTCAAGTGTGAGCCCACGTAAAGGCTCAAAGGATAAGCCTCTTGGCTGTCTAGGAAGTGATGTGCCTGCCACGAAATCTCCACCTCGAGGTTCACAAAGCGCTGCGCCCGCCACGAATTCTGCATTTCAAGAAACAAGTGAAAACTCTGACCACAATGGAGGGACGATTCCGAGAATGATCCGAGCATGACCCGAGACCGTCTCGGCCACCTGGAGCTAGAGCTCTTGAAACTAGAGCTAAGTGGAGCTACAGCTCTTGAAACTAGGGCTAACTGGATGATGAGTGGTGCGTGATAAGTGGTATATGATGAGTGTGAAGAGTGGTGTATGATGAGTGGTGTATGATGAGTGGCGTACGATGAGTGGTGTATGATGAGTGGTGTATGATGAGTGGTGTATGATGA